TTTCATATGTTGAACCACCCCTGCATCCCTGGGATGAAGCCTACTTGGTCATGGTGAATGATCTTTTTGATGTGTTGCTGAATTCGGTTTGCCATTATTTTGTTGAGGATTTTTGCATCAATGTTCATTAAGGAGATTGGCCTACAGTTCTCCTTTTTTGGAGGTGTCTTTGCCTGGTTTTGGGATGAGTATAATACTGGCTTCATAAAATGAGTTAGGCAGTGTCCCTTCCCTTTCTATTTCATGGAACAGTTTAAGGAGGGTCGGTATCAGTTCTTCTTTAAAGGTCTGATAGAATTCAGCTGAGAATCCATCCGGTCCTGGACTTTTCTTTTTTGGGAGGCTCTTCATTTTTGCTTCAATTTCATTTTGTGTTATAGATCTATTCAGGTGATTAATATCTTCTTGGTTCAATTTTGGGTGGTCATAAATATCTAGAAATTTGTCCATTTCATCAAGATTTTCAAATTTATTGGATTATAGGTTCCCAAAGTAGTCTCTGATGATTCCCTGCGTTTCTGTGGTGTTTGTTGTTATCTCCCCATTTGCATTTCTGACTTTACTGATTTGGGGTTTTTCTCTCCTCATTTTAGTCAGGTTTGCCAGGGGTCTGTCAATCCTGTTTATTCTTTCAAAGAACCATCTTTTTGTTTCGTTGATTCTTTGTATGGTTTTTTTTGTTTGTTTCCATTTCATTAATTTCAGCCCTTATTTTTATTATCTCTCTCCTTCTGCTTGTTTTGGGTTTTGTTTGTTCTTGTTTTTCTAGGAGTTTGAGGTGTAGCCTTAGGTCATTGATTTGAGATCTTTCTGTCCTTTTAATATACGCACTCATGGCTATGAACTTTCCTCTCAGGACTGCCTTTGCTGTGTCCCATAGGTTCTGGTAGATCACGTTTTCATTTTCATTAACTTTCAGGAACCTTTTAATTTCCTCTTTTATTTCATCAATGACCCATTGATCTTTGAGCAATGTGTTGTTCAGCTTCCAGTTGTTTGCATGTCTTTTTACTGTTGTTTTTGTTGTTGATTTCTAGTTTTAATGCATTATGATCAGATAGAATGCATGGGATTATTTCTGTTTTCTTATATTTCTTGAGACTTGCTTTGTGCCCTAAGATATGATCAATTTTAGAAACAGTTCCATGGGCTGCTGAGAAGAATGTATGTTGTGCAGGAGTTGGATGAAATACTCTGTAGACATCAACTAGGTCCATTTGATCTATGGTGTGATTTAGTTCTAGAATTTCTTTATTGATTTTTTGTTTGAATGACCTATCTATTGGTGATAGGGGGATAGTAAAGTCTCCTACTACCACTGTATTGGAGTCTATATGTGCTTTTAAGTCCTTTAAAGTATGTTTGACGAAATTGGGTGCACTGAGATTGGGTGCATATAGGTTGATAATTATTTCCTTTTTGTGTACTTCCCCTTTTATTAGTATGGAGTGTCCTTTATCTCGTTTGATCAATGTAAGTTTGAAGTCTACTTTGTCTGAGATAAGTATTGCTACTCCTGCCTGTTTTCGGGGTCCATTGGCTTGGTAAATCTTCTTCCAATCTTTCACCCTAAGCCAGTGCTTATTTCTGTCAATAAGATGGGTCTCCTGTAAACAACAGATTGTTGGATCTTCCTTTTTGATCCAGTTTGCCAGATGGTGTCTTTTGATGGTAGAGTTAAGTCCGTTAACATTCAGTGTTAGTATTGATAGGTATGTGGTGTTTCCTGTCATGTAGTTGTTTTTGTTGTTTAAGGGTTTGATTGTGTGCAGCTGAATCAATGTTACTCTCTGATTACTTGTCTTTTCTTTTCCTGTGGTTTGGTGCTGCCTGTCCTTTCATGGTTTTGTTTGCTTTTAATTTCTGTGTGCAGAATTCCTTGAAGAATCTTTTGTAATGGTGGCTTGGTGGTCATATATTGTTTTAGTTTCTGCTTATCATGGAAGACTTTTACTGCTCCATCTATTTTGAGTGATAGTTTTGCTGGGTAGGGTATCCTAGGATTGAAGTTATTTTTATTCAGTACCCAGAATTCCTCACTCCATGCTCTTGTTTTTAAGGTTTCCGTTGAGATATCTGCTGTGATTTTGATGGGTTTACCTTTGTATGTTATTTATTTTTTCTCTCTTACAGCCTTCAATATTTTTTCTCTATTCTCTGTGCTTGTTGTTTTAATGATAATATGTCGTGGGGTAGTTCTATTTTGGTCAAGTCTGTTTGGTGTCCTGGCAGCTTCCTGTACCTGAATGGGCATAGCTTTCTCTAAGTTTGGGAAATTTTCTGTTTCTATTTTGTTGAATATATTATGAATCCCTTTTGCTTGCATCTTTTCTCCTTCTTCTATGCCCATGATTCTCAGGTTTGGTCTTTTGATGGAGTCAGTGAGTTCTTGCATATTCCTTTCGCAGGTCTTGAGTTGTTTGACTAATAGCTCTTCAGTTTTTCCTTTAATTTCCATTTTATCTTCAAGTTCTGAGATTCTGTCTTCCGCTTGTTCTAGTCTCCTGGAGTGCCTTTCTTTCTTCTTTTTTTTTTCCTTAAAATTTTTTTTATTATTCATATGTGCATACAATGCTTGGGTCATTTCTCCCCCCTGCCCTCACCCTCTCTGGAGTGCCTTTCCATTGTGACTTGTATTCCTGTTTCATTCTTTTTTTCTGAGGGTTTCCATACCATGGGTATGTCTATTTTTAGTCTTTAATTCATTTATCTCTCTTTATAGTGTTCTCTGTTTCCATTTTCTTTATTTCCCCTGAATCCCATATTAAATTATTTTTTGGGGGAGAATGGCTTCCACCCATTTTCATCTTCCCATCACTCCACTTGGTACTGTGCAACTATGTTTTTGATAGGCTAGTTGGTGGTTTCAGTCACCTGTTTTCTTTCCCTTGGTTTAATTTTGTTTTGTGGCTGTATTGGGTTTGTAGCTAAGTATGTGTGTTGGTCTGGATGTAATTTAATATTTGCTAATTCACAATAGTAAAACTAACAACAACAACAAAAAAAACCCAAAGAGATGAGCAAACAAACAAGAAACAGAACAAACAAAGAGACAAACAAACAAACAAAAAATTCCAGGTTCAGGAACAATAGAATTTCAGTCTTAGTTTAAGTTCTGGTGTTACTCCTTCAGCATCCAATTCTGGTGTTGGTATTTAAACAGAAGCTCTGTCATATTCTCACCAGGTGGTTGGCTAGTGTTTTGTTTTTTTTTTCTTCTGCCTTTCAGAGGCAGCTGCTTGGTCAGCTCCTCCCTCAGTGAGGTGTGGCAGTTTAAGTTTTTATGTTGTCCTCAGATTCCGGAATCAGCTCTGTAGCCCACCAGCTGTCCTGCTTTGGAGTTGGGTTTTCACCATGCTTGATTACTGGGGGCTTGTTTCTTTGCCTCACCCCCTTTCTCTGGGGTTAGGTCAGTGATCCATCAGCCAACCTCCTGCTGTCAGCATGTTGTGATGGTTTGCTGATTATTTTTCAGTTTTGCAGTGTCACTTGTCTTTGGATGTTGCTCACTGGCTCAGGAGATGAGCTTTGTGGACCGCTACCTGCCCTATTTCAGGCAGCAGCTTATAACCCACCCGCTGTTGGCCCATCTGCCTTTCCAGCTTTTGTTTACTGAATATTGTTCAGGTTTTTTTGTGGAGGGGGGGTTGGTCAGTCTGTCCAGGGGGCTATGCTGGTTTATCCCAGGGGTGGCTGGGGGGAATAGTGCATGATGCTTGGTGCTCACCTGTTTGGTCTGCTGAATGTCTCCCAAACAGGTTTGGAGCTGGTGTTTGGTGGTGGTCGGAGACCTCCTGTTTTCTCAGTGTAACGTGGCATGGAGAAGCTTTCCATGGGCTAGGGGTTCAGGGTATCAAAGTTTTGATTCTCCTTGCTGCTTTATTTCTGCCAAGTGTGGCTCCAGTGTCTCAGTGAGGTTTTGGAGTCATGGAGCTCACACTGTCTGCTTCTGTGTCCCCGTCACCATCTTGGATCCTCTGTCTACTCATTTTAAACAACCACTTACTATAAATCTTTTTAATTCATATGAAATTTACATATTTCCATTTAAGATGCATGGAATTTACTTCAGCATGCAGAAGAGGCTGAGTTCAGAGTCTTGGGGATGCATTCATTTTTTGCTAATGATATTTAGGTTTTTTAAGGCTCTATTCCTAGAACTGTCTGAAGAAAATGAGTCAGTAGTGATGTAAGGAATATTTTCCCTATCAGTGCTTTGCTTAAACTTTATTGTATAACTAAATTGACACATGTTTTAACAAATCAAATGATACAGAAACACTTAAGAAAATTTAATAACCTGTTCTCTACTCTTGTTGAGTCATCTACCCCACCCTGATAACGGTGCTAACATTTGATGCATAGATTTCTCTTTCTTAATGCTGTGTTTAAAAGTAAATATATAAACACATTGAGAGTCTGGTTGGTTTTTTAAATAGAATTCTACCACACACATTATTCTACGTTGTCTTTTTCTCTTGGTAGTATATCCTGGACATCTCCAGAACCACAGTGTGCACAGTAACATGCAGTGTGAGCTCACTGTTATCCACCCATTCTGTACAGTGGACATCCACATTGTTTGAAGGTAGATTTTTTTGCCAATATACCAAGTATTGTACTAAAAATTCTTAAATACGTATTCTTACCTATTGATTTTTCTTTCCATAGGGTACATTCTTCTAAGTGAAATCCCTGAAAGCATATGGATATTTTAATTTCAGCAGATGTTTCCAGATTAATTTCAGAAAACACTGCAGCAAATGACATTCTCCACAGTTTTCTATTAGAGTCCCAACTTCTGGCCTGTGCTCAACCATAGTAGCTCCTGTGGTTCTCTTCATGATGACAATCTGAATTGAAAAATTGTCTTCCTTAATTAACATTCCATGCTACTAATGGGGTTAGGCACATTTGCAAGTGTCTCTTGATAACCTACACTCTCTCTGTTATAAATTGTCTATTCTTTCATTGGTTGTTTCTCTTAAGGATTAGTAGGAGGAATTTGTGTGCAAGCAGAAATAACACATGGCCTGTTACATATGAGGTAATTATTTTGTGATAATCTACTATTTGCTCTTCAATTTCATTCATGACATCTTTCTTTACATAGCTTAAAAATAATTATGGCTGGACTGGAGATGTAACTCAGCGGTAAAGTGCTGTCCTTACATGTGAGAGGTCCTGGGTTTGATCCCCAGCAATGCAAAAAAAAAAAAAAGCTATCCCTCAATAAAAATTATAGTTTTCCAACTGGGCAGGTGACTCACACCTGCAATCCCAGCACTCAAGAAGCTGAGGTAAGAGGATCATGAATCTGAAGCCAGCCTGGGCCACATGAGACCCTGTTATAGAAAGAAGGGAGAAAGAGAGAGAGAGGGTAAGGGAGGGAGAGGGAGAAATTTATAGTTTAGACATTGGATATTTTTGAGGTACTCGGGCTTGAACTCAGAACCTACACCTTGAGTTACTCCATCAGCCCCCACTTTTTTTGTGATGGGTGTTTTTGAGAAAGGGTCTCACAAACTATTTGCCTGGGCTGGCTTCAACCCATGATCCTCCTAATCTCTGCCTCATGAGTCAGTAGGATAACAGGCATGAGCCACCAGCACCTGGCAACATCGGATTTTTTACTTCTTCAAGTGTATTCTGCAAGTTTGTATTGTGAGGTTTTAGAGCTGGATACTTCACAAATCTTGCTTTTGTTATTGAAAAATTCCTGAAACTTCACTGTTAAATTTCTTTTCTTTCTTTCCTTCCCTCCCTCCCTCCCTCTTTCCTCCCTTCCTTACTTCCTCCTTCCTTCCCTTCCTCTTTCCCTCCCTTCCTCCCTTTTCATTCATTCTTCTTTTCTTCCTTCCCTCTTTCCTTCCATCCCTCCCTTCCTCTCTCCTTCTTCCTTCCTTCCTTCCTTCCCTACTTCCTCCCCTTTTCCCTCCCTCCCTTCCTCCCCTCCTTTTGTACAGACACATGATCTCCCCATATAGTCCAGGCTGGCCTCAAACTTGAGGTCCTCCCACCTCAGCCCCCTGAATGCTAGAATTGCACCACCATCCCTGACTCTGCATAGTTTCTTACCATTTTAGGTTACAGTACCACTTTGAGAAGCCAAGGGAAATTATGATATATAAATACCCCAGGAAAAGCATATAAACATCAGTCCACAATATTTTACACTATTTTCAATAAAGGAAATTAATTTTTTATTTCTACAGGATATAAAAGCGATCATTATGGTTAGGTTTCCTTCTTACTTTTTAAGCAAAAGTTAATGGCCATTCTTGAAAACAATATGCAAAATTGTTGAAAAGATATGCAAAAACATCCAAAACTGTCCATATAAAAAACAAAAAGTTTACTTTAATCTGTTCAATGTGAATTTAATAGGAAAGTTGCTGTTGCTTAGTTTGAATGACAGGATGAAGTTGTGGAGCGCTGTTTGATGAAATGCTAATGTCATCTTTGCCAGCCAGTGGAGTTCCCTCTTTGCTTTGGCTGACAAGTGATGAAAAAACTCATTTGCAGTGACAGTTACAAGAGCAGTAATGGAATGCACTCCCGTGGTGCACTTTGCACTCTATCCAGATTTCTCCCATCCTCTCTCAGCTTAAGCCATGTACCTTTAAGTCCTTTGTGAGGTCATTTTTTGGCAGTGTGAGGGGTTGATCTCAGTAAGTTAAGGATCATGAACACATATTTAATTTCAAGATCAGTGGAGCAGAAATATCCATCAAAAGGTTTCTACAGGGTTCCAGGTGTCTACACATTTTTGCCTACAAAAAAATGAAAAAAAAAGGCGACTCTCAGCCTCAGACTAAGGACATTTTTTTTCTTTCATTGAAAACTTAATACAGTTGCCTCCTCCTGTCTCCTTTTCCAGAGCAGCAGATTGAACAGAAGAGTTCACAGTGGCTCTGAAGCTTTCCTAATAACAGCTTTGAGTGGAAAGAATTACCAACATAAGTCAAGCCATGAAAAAACTCATCCATGTCCAATTGTCCAAAGTAAATGTTCCTTTATTATCATCATCCCCTATCCTTCCCTGCTTTTGTTTTTGGGGTGTGTGTGTGTGCGTGTTTGTTTTTGGGGTGTGTGTGTGTGTGTGTGTGTTTGTGTGTATATTTGTGTGAGTGATTCAAATGCTTAATGCTTAGTTTTTAGGTCTTTTATTCAGTTTTAAAGAAGAATGAAATTTTGTCATTTGCAGGTAAATGGATGGAACTGGAGAACATCATTTTCAGTGAAGTTAGCCCGGCACAGAAGGCCGAACATCACGTGTTTTCTCTCATGTGTGGAATACAGACCTAATACAAATACAGCAATATTATGAAAAACAGGTTATACAAAGGTCACATATGAGTGAGGGAGGGCAAAAGAAGGAAGTTAAGACGATGAAATATGGCTGATGTATTTCCAATACAAGAATGAATATAGAATTTTTAAACCTGTTGAAGTCACCATAAGAAGGCACTAAGGTAGGAAGGAGAAAAATAGAGGAGGTGAGCCAATTTGGGTTATAATACATACATACATGGAAATGTCACAATGAAACACCCTGTATAGCTATCTTAAACAAACAAAAAGTCTTTTTTTATACAAAAACATAGAACAGGAAGGCAAAACAGGTCCTGTCTGAAGGGGGATAGATAGGTACGGTGGGAGGGGGAGGATACAAGGTAATGGTGTATGAGGATTAATGTGGTGGAAATACTTTGTGCGCATGTATGTAAATGGAAAAACAAGACACATTGAAACTATTCCAGGAATGAGGGGAGAGGGTAAAAAGGAGAATGATGGAGAGGATGAATTCAACTATGATATACTGTGAGAACTTTTGTAAATGTCACAATGTACACCCAGTTCAATAACAATAAAAATAAATAAATTTTTTTAGAAAAGAAAATTTTTGTCTATAGAAAAAGTATATTCTATTGTCCTTCCTTGATTGAAAAAAAAAAATCTTGAGGAAGTGGTGACTTGAGGTCCCGAGTCTGGTGGAGCTCATATCTTTCATGGAACTGGGTTGGATTTACTGCAGAAAGGCCAGCCACTGCCTTTGCCATCCTTGTCTGCTTGTGTGTTCTGCCACAGAACACACATGTTGCCGGTCCAAAAGCTGCAGGTTCAGATGTGCTGTCCAGAGGCACAGGCTCCATCTCTTCCCAAAATGTTCAGATTCATTTTTTAGTGGAAGTTTTACTCTAGGAATTCCGTTCTGAAGTTATCAATGACCTTTGCAGGTCCAAAAGAAAACAGAGTCTTGAATGGTCAAGTCAGCACAAGAAAGGAAAGCCCAAAGGGCTAAATGTAGAGCTGACAATCCCTCTGCCATCTTGTTCAAAATATTAGAAGAAAGGCAGGAATTCTGGAGGGGGTGGTATCACTTCATTAAGGAACCACCTTGGTTATCTTCCTGTGCATCAGGCCACAAGCAGCTCTACCACTTCTGGGACACATGGCTTCCCAAGATTTCTGCAATCATATGTAGGCAATTTCCTTTTTACTTAGACACATGGAAAGCAAGCTCAGAGAGAGATTTTTGTGCTGGAGCAAAGACACTTTGGATAGAGTTTTAATCTTTAACTGAATTAGCATCAATCTTTTTCAGAATGTTTCCTGCTTTGTTTTCCTTTTAAAGTGGAATCCAGTCAAGTTGCACACATGTCATTTGCTATCTCTCTTCAATTTTCCCCTGTTCTGACTTTTTGAAGAGAGTAGGCAAATTGCCCACAGTTTGCATTTGTCTGATTGCTTCAGTGGGTTTTTTAACCTCTTTTAACCCTACTATATTCTATAAATATGAAGTTAGTTGCTCATGATTTGACAAGATTAAGGTTAAACCTCTCATGTAAACATAGGCGATGCTCAGAACCTATTGAATTACAACAGGAGGCATTTAATGTGAGTTTGTCCCACTGTTATTGATGTTACATTCCACCAGCTGGTTACCATGGTGGCAGTCATTTCTCTCTTTTGTATGGATTTACTTTGCCTGTTCAATTAGCAGTTAATCTGTGGAGTAGATTAATCAGTGAGCCAGGTAGATGAATACTTTAATAACATGAAGACATCAGACCAACTTTTCTCAGGCAGATGGACCTATAATTGCCATGTAACAAACCACACATGTTTAAGTGGACAATTTGGTAAGTTTTGAAATATATCTGTAACTGTGAAGTCATCAGCATGGTAAGAGAAATGACTATATTTATTGCCCCGCTTCCAAAAGTTTCTTATTGCCTTCTCCTCCTTCCTCTCATCCTAAGGCAACCACAGGTCTGCTATCTGTCACAGAAATGAGTACAGATAAGTATGCATTTTTCAGAATTTTATATAAATGACATCCCACAGTGAACACTCCTTATTTCTTTTTCTTTTTGGGGGGACCTGGCTTCTTTCACTCAAGATAGTTATTCTGAGATATGGTACATTCCATTCTTTGCTAAATAGATTGCATGGCACAGATATGTTTCTATCCATCCATGTTTCATGGACATTTGGAATATTTTCTAATTTGCGCTATTATATCTAAAGCTGATATGAATATTTACATACAAGTTTTTGCATAGATGAATGATTTCCTTTCTCTTCAGAAAATACCCAGCTGGATTATACATGATAAATAATTAAATAAAATGTAAAGAAATTGTCAAACTATTTCCAAAACGGTTGTACCATTTTCCATTTTGACTGGCAATGTGAGAAACCCAGTCCTGGCACATCCTTAACACCAGGCAAGGTCAACCTCTCAGTTTCTGTCATCCCAATCAGAATGTAGTATCTACCTGCAATTTTAATTTGCGTTTCACCAATGAGAAATGATGTTGAGTTTCTTTTCATGGACTTACTTGCCATCTTTGGTTGTAAAGTTGTCTAATTGAAAATTTTTGCCCATATTTGTCTAAATTTTTTTCTTTTTATTGAGTTTTGAGAATTCTTGATATGTTCTGGGTATAAGACCTTTATCACATGTAAGTTGCAGATATTTTCTCCTTGTCTGTGGCTTGTTTTTATTGTTGTTGTTCTTTGTTTGTTTTTGAGACAGGATCTTGCTATGTAGCCCAGGCTGACCTTGAATTTGAGAGCCTCCTTCCTCAGCCAAATGCTGGAATTAAAAGCATCTATCACCATGCCCAAATGAGGCTTGTCTTTTGTTTTTCTTAATAGTGTCCTTCAACAAACAAAAGGGCTTAATTTTGATTACATGCAATTTATTGATTTTTAAATTTTATCAATCAGTTTTATTGTCATATTGGAACAGGTTAGGAGGTAGAGGAAGCATAGGCAGTTAGGGCATGGCCCCTGGTGATAAATTGAGACTCACAAGATGTTCAAGTTCCAAGGTCTCCGTGAAATAACAATAGGCATGGAGACTCTTAAGGTCTTTTGGTGAAACTGAGGTTTGAACTCAGGGCTTTGAAACTTGCAAATCAGAAACTCAACTGCGTGAGCCACACCTGCAGTCCATTTTACTCTGGTAATTTTGGAGGTGGTGATCTCTCAAACTATTTGCACAGGCTGGCCTCCCCATCTCAGCTTCCCAAGGAGCTAGGATTCCAGGCATGAGTGACCAGCACCTGGTTAGCTGACCTTTTTATATTGAACTGTTACAGAGCGTGCCTAACTCGCTTGTTATTTCTAATCACTTTTTAGTAGATCGCTTAGCTCATCTATATAAATGATTGCATTATCTGAGAATAATGGGTTTTATATCTTAGTTTCTATTTCTTTTCCTTGTCTTCTTGCACTGGCTGATAGCAGTAAAAACGTACTGAATATGATGCAAACTCTATCTTGAGAGATGCCTTTATCAGGTTGAAGAGATTCTCTGCTACTGCTAGTTTACTAATTTTTCTTTAACACTTGACTTTCAAATGTTAAACCAACTTTGCATTCCTGAGACAACCCTGCTTGGTCATGATTTTTATATTTTGTTAGATTCAATTTGTTAAACTTTTGCTTCAATTTTCTGAATATATGTTCATAAGGAATATTGGTACATAATTATCTTTTCTTTCTTTTTCCTTCCTTTCTTTATTTTTTCATTTATTCATTCATTTATGTTTTTGATGTAATCCAGGCTGACCCCTAACTCATGATTAAATTACAGCCATGGACCACCATGCCCAACTTTTCACTTTAAAAAAAATTAATAAAATCCTACAGATTTTATTACAGTACAGTTTACAACTGTACGTAGTTGAAAACTTGAGTGAGATTCCTCTCCAGAGTTTTCTTTGTGGAGATGTCTTCTGTTTTGCCTTGCAAAACAGTCTGGGCATCTTGGCTTCTTCTGTTTGATTTTTCATGCAGTGTTGGGGATCAAACCCAGGCCTTGCGCCTGCTAAGTACACTTTTTACTGCCAAGCTACATCCCCAGCCCCTTCTTTGCTTCTTTAGACTACTAGTTCCATCTCCTCAATTCAGGGAGATCGCTGAGCTTTGCTTGGATTCCCCTTCCCTAAACTTCAACCAGGAATCTAACTCCAAGCAATAAACTGGAGCATTCAGAGGGCTCACCTCAATGTTTTCCATCTCTCAGACATCACTATTCTTTGTTGTCCAATGTCCAGCATTTTGAATGTCATAATTTTCCACACTTTGTCTGGTGTTTTACTTGTGTCAGGTAGAAGGGCCTTTCATGTCTCTGTTACTCCATCCTTTTTACCTAGTGTTTTCATTATCCACTAATTATCAGTACATTAATCAATTATTTCATGGGGGTTTGATTTTTTTAAATCTAAATTTAAAAAATTAGATAACATCCATCTATAAAGTTTCCATTCCTTCCATAAGGATAGAGCTAATGTCTAATTCTTCCTCTCTTTCACAATGGAAATAGTTAATTCATATAGTGGCCAATGAGTTTCTTCTTTTCTGTTGCTCTTATTTAATTTTGTGTGTCATTGTAGCCTGGAGATTTCTATTTATTATGCTATAATCACTTTATGGTCACTATTCTTTCTGATGTCCTAATTGTACCAGATTTAACCATTGGAAATGCCTTCATTCTGGTTTTTGAGTCACTTTGAAAGAATCTCATTAGATTTTGAGCATCCTTGCTTTAAGTATCTTAAGGCTCATCATGTATTTTCCATGCTGCAGATGTGAAATTGCACATTTCTCCAAGACCTGATTCCCTTTAGTAGAAACACTATGTAGAAATCAAGGTCTGGGCATGAATGGAATTCCATGTTATGGGATTGCCAATGGGGAAAGCTATTTTAGATGTCATAGCCTGGCAATTACACCAGTCACACTTTACCCT